AGACGCTTGAGGCAGCGTTATCTGACGTAAAAGATCCTCAGTAATCCCACACAGGGGACTGAGCACATACGTCACAGTACCACAATGTGACGTCACCCAATGATCATAATTACAATTATGAAGACCATAGAGAAACAAGGCGCATGTGGAGAATATGTAAATATGATATTTCATGTAGACAATGGGTGCATCTAAACAAAAATATCCACGATAATAAAATGTGTTCATGTGGTGAAAAATTGGAAAGGTCATCTGTGAAAAAGAAAACTAGCTGTGGGGTGCCTGGGTGGCTCAGTAGGTTAAAGCCTCTGCCTTCGGCTCAGGTCATGATCCCAGGGTCCTGGGATCGAGCCCCACATCGGGCTCTCTGCTCGGCAGGGAGCCTGCTTCCCCTTCTCTCTCTGCCTGCCTCTCTGCCTACTTGTGATTTCTGTCAAAAAAAAAAAAAAAAAAGTTATAAATAAATAAATAAATAAAAAATAATAGTGTCATTTCCAGTTCCCCAATTATTAAAAAAAAAAAAAAAAAGGAAAACTAGCTGTGTGACAGCAGCAAGATTAAGGAGGTCTTATTCTCTCACAACTTATTTAGTGTTGGGGCGCCTGGGTGGCTCAGTCAGTTGGGCCTCTGTCTTCAGCTTAGTTCACGATCCCAGGGTCCTGGGATTGAGCCCCATGTCCCGCTCCCAGCTCAGCATCAAGTCTGCTTCTTCCCCTCCCCCTCCCTTTGACCTTCCCCCTTGCTCATGCTCTCTCTCACTCTCTCAAAAATAAATAAAATCTTTAAAAAAAAAAATACCCAAGCACCTTATTTACTGTATTTCTGTTGTGTTAATGTTTGAAAAGGTGGAGGGGTTAGCGCAGGTGAAAGTCATACTCTCCCAGCCCCCTCTATACACACTTGTCCTACATCTTCTGCTCCAGGAGGGAAGGACCACATCTGCTTACCCACGGTTGCACTCAGCTCCCAGCCCAATCCTAGCACTTATCAGCGGCTCAGTAAATATTTGTTGAATGAATAAATGAAAGTGCCTGCAGTCCAGAAAGTCTCAACCCGGGATCACTGGGCACGTTCCATTCTGGGGAATGAAGAAGAATTTGGTTTTGCTCAAAGAAAAAAAGGAAGGCGGGGCACCCAGCTGGCTCAGTCAGTACAGCAAGTAGCTCTTGATCTCGGGGTCATGAGTTCAAGCCCCACACCAGGCTTAGAGCTTACTTAAAATAAAATAAATTTTAAAAAAATGAAGGCCCATCCATAAGGACAATTCCCCCATCTTTTTGATAAGTGAATTTGGGCTTGGAGAACCCAGGGAGAGACAGTCTGCTAAAGCAAACCCAATTACCACCCAGGAACATATGTCGCCCTGAGGCCTTTGCTGCCATAACAACACTGTGTAACTATAACTACAGCCCTGGAGGGCTTTGGCCCTGTCAAATATGGAAAAGGATGTCTTTATCACAACCAGCCTTTGTGCGCAGACTGACTTCCCTAGGGAGCTTAGATCAGGGAAGGGAGGTAGATAAGTGCAGGAAGGGGGGAGGTGAAGGGCAGGAGAGGGAGAATTGCTATTGAATCAGGATTAGGGTGATTTTTTTTTTAAAGCAATTCTCAAAATGTAGTTATTTGACTGTTTAGTTTTGGTGGTTATTTATAACCCCAGCTGCAGAGGCGGGGAGCTGTGCCTGAGCCTGCTGGGATCTGTCCTATGTCTTCCCCGGGGGGTGGGGTTGGGGGCAGGTGGTGGAGAAACTAAGGGTGATGGAGAAACTAAATTCACAAGGGGGCCAAGAAGGTAAGAGAAGTTCTAGGCCACCTCCAAGAAGAGTGAGACAGAAGTGACCCTTAGTGACTGTGCTGACTCCATGTTGAAGGCAGCTGTGAATGGAAAGATCTGAATATGAATTATGGTCCCATCAGCAACCTCTGAGGGTCTCCCAAAGGGCCAGAGACTAGGCCAAGGCTTCTGTTGAGAAGTCACGAGATTGGCCTGGCTATGCTAGCCACTCCCAAGGGCAAGGCAGTCTTCTCCACCTTATAGGTGGATGGATAGATAGGACAGTGGTCTGCACACAAAGTAACTACCATCTCTAACCCCTCCTGGGCACATCCCTGGTCAAAAACAGGCCTCAAGGAGAGAGGGTGGCTGGTTCTGGCAAGTCTTACCTAACCAGCCAAGACCTGGCAGTGGCCATTGCATTTACTGAGCCCTTGAAGAGGACAGGCAGCCAGGGCGAAGCTGGAGATGGGGTTGGGGGGCGGGGGGTAACTTGGCCAGGCAAGGCTCTCAACCTCCAGGAGCTCCCAGACCTTTGAAGCAAACAATAAACAACTCCACTTTGCATTTGAAATACCAAACGTACCATTTTACTAGCAAAGGGAGCATCTTATTTTATTTTATTTCATTTTTTAAGGATTTTATTTATTTGACAGAGAGACACAGCGAGAGGGAACACATGCAAGGAGAGTGGGAGAGGGAGAAGCAGGCTCCCCGCTGAGCAGGGAGCCTGATGCGGGGCTCCATCCCAACACCCTGGGATCATGACCTGAGCCCAAGGCAGATGCTTAATGACTGAGCCACCCGGGCACCCCAAGGGGAGCATTTTAAAGGAAACTGAGGGATCGTTTAGGGAGCTTACAAATGGGACTGAAGAGACAAGATATAGATACAAGAAAGACAAAAGAGCCCCATGCCCCCTGCCTGGTTCAGTTCCTCTTCAACTCTGGATAAGGTTATTACCTGTTACAGAGGGATTCTCACTGGTCTCCCTGCCCCTCTGATGAGTCCCCTTCACAGCTTCTAGAAAGAGATCTCTAAGTGCTAGTGTGATCGTGGGACTACTCTGCTTAAAGGCCTTCAGAGATGTCCCATCACCTCCAGTCCAGGCTCCTCAGCAGAGCTTTGCCAAAACCATTCCTGCCTCTCCTCTGGCAAACCCCCCAACTCCACCCTGCCCTCAGTCAGTCAGTCACTGCCGGATACTGTGCTGCTCTGTCCCTCTGCACTTTCGTGCACACTGCTGGCTCCCATTGCACTGAAAGCCCCTCTTCTGCTTGCCTGCTGGCAAAGTTGTCTGTCCTATGAAACCCCATTCTTCTTTCACCTATTCTAGAAACCCTTTCCTTTACCCTCCAGACAAAACACTCTACTTCCTCCTCTGTACCACGTCTGACCCTTGCTCATCCTTCTATTTTTCCACAGTATTTGGGGACCATGAGATTACTGGCTTGGGGAGACATGGTGTTTTGCCCCTATTGGGTGTGGCCCAAAACCTGAGATAGAATTCCCGGGCTTATCACTCCATGTTTCTTGAGCTGAGGTGAGATTGAACAGACAAAAGCAAACAATCGCTAGACCTGGGAAAGATATATTCATTAACAGTAGGATGTTAGCCATGGCTACGGTGACTGAACTATAAATATCACTAACGACAGCAATTTACAAAGTATTTACTGCAGCAGGGACTGTGCTAAATGCTTTACAACAGCTGTCTCCTTGAATCCTTACAATAACCTGGGAAGCAGCTGTCAGTGTCTCCATTTCACGGATAGGAAAACTGAGGCACGAATTAAAAAATCTGTCGGAGAGCAATGCAGACAGAAAGTGGCAGAGCTGAAAGTCAGTTCCCGATGACATCGGAGCCCTGGACTGGGTACTAGTAGAGCTATGACTAAAATAAATAGGAGTTCCTATTATCTGTTTGGAAAGGAGAAAGGGGAACAGAACATCAACCAAACTGTATATGGAAAAGTATAAATATAGCAGTAAATGTAAAATAATGTATCACTATGCCCTACTACCTTAGAATGAATACATCAGGAAATACTTTTTTTTTAAATTAAGATTTACCTATCCATTTCAGAGAGAGCTCAAGAGAGAGAACGAGTGGCGGGGGCGGGTGGGTGGGCAGAAGGAGAGAATCTTCATGCAGACTCCCTGCTGAGCTCAGAGTTTGACGTGGTAGGCTTTATCCTGGGATCCACCAGATCCTGACCTGAGCTGAAACTAAGAGTCAGACACTTAGCCTTCTAAGATGTCAAGGCGCCCCAATCAGGAAAAGCTTTCTGAAGAAACTAAATGTTCAAGAAAGACGTATCCAGGCAGGAAAAAAAGCCTGTGTGAAAGTGTAAAGGCAGGAGACACAGTGGAGCTCAGCAGCCTGTGAAGTCTGGTGGTGAGGCTGGGGCAACTAGCCAAGAAACTTTGAAACCAACATCAGTTCCTGCTTCAGGAGCTAATTGCGCCATGATGAAAATGATCCTTAAAGTAAAGATTATATTTGATTCAGATGAAGAAAGGAAGGAAAAAAAAAAAGCTTTTAGGGTTCCCTCTTCCCCATTCTAAATATACCTAGCTGTTCTACTTTCCTCTTAAGTACATGTTTTCCTTTTGATCATCTCTCTATCCTATTGATGTTAGCGTTTTTTCATTTTTCTTCCAGAGTCCACACTTTCCAAGGACAAGAACCATGTCTAAATGAAACTGTAAATCCTTCAGCATCAGCTGCAGTGTTTGAGAATTCAGTGTAAGCGATTAATGCTGAACATCTGTAATGCTGGTATTTGTATGATGAATGGTTAAGTCAGGATAGGATTTTTTTTTTTTAAAGATATTTATTTATTTATTTATTTGACACAGAGAGAGAGATCACAAGTAGGCAGAGCGGCTGGTGGCATGGGCAGTGGGGGGAAGCAGGCTCCCCGCTGAGCAGAGAGCCCAATTCCGGGCTTGATCCCAAGACCCTGAGATCATGACCTGAACCGAAGGCAGAGGCTCAATCCACGGAGCCACCCAGGTGCCCCAATAAGATCTTATTCTAAAAGACTAATTGCCACGGAGGGATATTTCATCATCTTTGAGTGCTATCCATTCAGAGACTGTGGAACGGTAAACATATTCTGATTGACTGGCAAGCATTTAGTGCGGGCGTAGCATGGTCTGGGCACACTATTAAGGATGACACAGAAAACTGAGACAGGCTTTTAACACAAGATCTTCTTACCCTAGTCTGGGAGCCAGAGCATCCACGAATGACCTCAGGAACACACCAGGAAGTACAAAATAACAGTAATAGTGGGAAATTAAATGCTGAAGAGATACAAGAGGAAGAAACGTGAGCCCTTTTCCAACAAGTTCTTATGTGCAGTTCAACCTTAGGTAGGTTATTCAGAGGTATTTATATGAAACACTGAAAGCTAAATACTAAATACTGAAAGCTGTGGATCTTACCACTAACCCAGAATATCCCAGACAACGGCAGTGCTAAGGGTCTGGAACTTGAACTCTTCAGAGTCCTCTGTTTTTCTCATCAATCAGATGTTTATTTTCTGCTGCTTTGTTCTTTAGCTTGGCTGGTGGGGGGAAACGGGGGTCCAGGATTCTAACTCTGAAAGCATTTCCTCCAGCGAGGTTAAATCCTCAACGCCTGCTCTCCACTTCCCAGCTTTTAAAAAATGGCTTTTTTAGCCTGACATCCTTGACTAGCTTTTCCTTCCTCTCACAACCAACCCCATTATTATTGTTGTTGTTGTTATTATTATTTAAATACCCATTGCCTTTTTTAAAAGCCAGCTTCACTAAAAATATTCCTTCCTCTTCTTCCCTCCCCCAACTCCTGACTCAAGCATTTTGATTTCCAGAGATCCCTTTGGCTAAATGGAGTTCACGGCTTCTCCGACTCTGGTACCGCGCCGGCACCCACCCCCACTCCCGCGGGCCACTCAGGGCTCTCAAACCCAGACAGAACGGGGGAAGGAGATGGGCGCTCACCGTTGAGTGAAACTGGGGATTCTTTGGAACTACAGCTTCTGGAGAATGGTTTTACCTCTTTCCGCGACGTGAACGGCTAACTTACTTGCTGTTCGCTAAGGGCAAGGACAGTATCTCCTCTACCAGACAACGAACTTCCTGATGATGGACGCTACCCTTTAGTTTCTTTTACAAGCCCCATTCCCACCACTTTGAGATACAGAATGGCTTTCAAGATACAATTTCTTGTGCAAAATATCCCTTCCCAACTTTGAGTTTATACGATAAACAGAAATGTCCTTTAGCCAATTAGGCAACGAAGGGGTTAAACCTCAGCCACCTGATGGATTCTGGGGGTTTCCTTCCTCGACTTCAGAAATTAAAACGACCGGGAAGGGAAATTTTGCCCAAGGTAAAAATGAGAACGGCTAACTTCAATCGTCAGGCTTCAGCCCCAAACAAGAATGGCTGCCCACGTCCACAAAAGGTGCCAATCCCCTAACTAAAAATGGCTGGCCCGGATTTCTACAACTGTGCTACTCTCTGCCCAATTCCAAAATGGCGCTCACTAGCCTCACCAGGAGGAGCGAACCTCCCAGCATCCTCTCTGGCCCTCAACGTCAGATGACGCGAGCCCCAGCCGGAAGTGAAGGAAAAAGCGCCTCAGCCCGCGGCGCCTGCGCAGAAGGGTCTAGACGCTGTGAAGCAGGAGGCACTTGGGATCGTCCGCAGGATTGGGACTGCTACAGAGGCCGCCACGGAGCCCGCCGGAGCCACCGTTCCTACTGCTGCTGCTGCCGCTGCCCGAGTCGGAACTGTCGGGCCGCAGCCGCCGGCAATGCCGCGAAGGAAGGTGAGAGGAACGGGACAGAAGGGATGGCGGGTTTCTAAGGACAGTCGATTGAGCAACGTGACGCAGTTGGCCACGCCTCACAGTGGTTGGGTTCCAACTTCCCGCTCCCCCGAACCTAGCTCAGCAGCCTTCTCTTCTGTCCATACCCAACAGAAAAATGTGGGCCCAATCCTGGCCTCGGCCTATGCTTGCAACTATTCCCGCCCTCTGCTTGCCTGGCTCGGAGGCGTTCTTCTCGTTAATTGGTCGCTGGAACGCCTAGAAGCGTATTGATTGGCTGGTGGCACCGCCCATTTGGGTCCAACGGTCACCTCCCCGCGTGCGGGGGCGGTGTCGGGGCCGGGCCCTATGGCTCTGCGACTGGCTGTGGAGAACGATCCCTCCTCTCTTGATTGGTTAGGCTTGGCAGTCTGTCCCGTGGGGGCGCGGTGTAGCAGTAGCGCCATTGGGTGGCACGAATCCCCGCCCTTCCGGCCGGTGATGCTGATAGGTGCATAGGCGGGGTTTTGGAGCATCCTTCCTTTCCAGGCGGGGGGCACAACAAAGCAGAGGACTGGGTGGTTGGGAACCAGCGCCCACTCCCTAGGGATCCCACTCAGGCCTGTTGCATCTAAGCTGTACTTTTTCCTTATTTGCCCAATTAGACAGCGGACAGGAAATGCGTTCCAAAAGGCTAAAACTTTCCAGAGTTAGGTAGGATTTGTAAGGTCACCTAGGGACACCCCCATTCCTTTTCTTTGCAGCTGAACAAACAGAGACGTAATGGAGTGCCCCAAGCCATTCCCATTAGGCAATAATGGAGCCAGGACTACAGAGCAAATCTGATTCAATTCAACACATGTTTATTAACTCGCTACTGTGCTAGTTGCTGGAGATTCACGAATTAATTAGACACGATCCCTAGCTTAAGGAGATCACAGTCAGATGGGGAAAACAGACATATAAATAACTATAAGGAGCTAGTAAATTCTCTACTCAGGGGTATATGCTAAGTATTGTGGGAGGGAAGTGAGGGAGCAATTAAGTCTGCTGTGGAGTAAGATGGGAAGGAGATGGTGAAAGCTAGAGAGGAGAGCTGAATTCCAGAGTCAGACCAGGAGGGAAAGGTCAGAGACGCGAGTATCTGGGTAATGGACTAGACGACCTTTAAGACTCACTCTTATTCTGTGGGATTTCTGTGACTCTGGAGCCTCTGCTCATTTCTGGGCAGATTATGCTTGAAATATTTGGAAAGCGGTGTGGTATTCTTGCTCATTTCTGCAGAAATCTTTCTTTTCACAGAGGTTTTCAAACATTTGTACCTTTTGTTTTCTCCTAAAATGGCCTATACTCATAGGCAGTATTTAACTTAAGGCTCACCAAATGCTGGAATAGTATTGGTGCCTTGGAATAGGTCCATAGTCCCTTTTCTGCAGTTCCCAAATACAAAGAGCTTTTGAAAATGTAAGTGTTTTTAGTAACTTATTTGGTTGGCAAAACCTGTCTTAAACTATCCTGAGCCTACTTATAGTTTCTGTGTGTCTCATTGGGTGATTGTTTATATATTCTGCTGTAGAAATATTAATGTGTTTGATGATGGGTATTGCGGGGTATATGCAAAATGTTCCCTCTCCAAAAAGTTACGAATTTCAGACACAACTGGCCCTAAGGGTTTTGAATAAAAAAACCCAGGGGGCTTCTAGCTTGAAGTTTTGTAGGGTTTTCTAAGCAAATACTCTTCCCCTTTCTGGCTTAGGGAAGGGTATAATGTTAATGTTCAGTCGTTAAACGTTGTCTGTATGACTAATCATGCTTCGGGAAGCTAATAATTGACAAATAATTATTAATTGAAGAGATGATAAAAATCTCTGTTCTTGAATATCTACAAGTCTTCATGTGCAAGCTACTTTTTTTTTTTAAGCACTTTTGGTACATGTGGAGAAACTTCATAGGTAGATAACATAAGAAAGAAGAATTTTAGTCTTTTTCTTTAAGTTCTCTTGGGATCAGAGTTGTGGATCGTGATATTTTGAAATAGTATATGGTTTAAAAAAACATGATGGCCTTTCGTGGAGACTTTGAACAAAAGCTACTCTAAAGTTAAAAGGAGACTAGCACTGATATTTTTCCTATCACCATGGACTTTAAGTGCCTAGTACTGTCGGCCAGACCATTTTGAATTGATACTTTTATTTCCAGTTTGTAGTGCTGACCGATAAATGGACTTGTGTCAGAATCAGTGTTAATGAAGTAAAAATGCTCTCTTTCATTCATTTAAGAAAAGTGCATTATTTGTAGGTTGTTCCGTTTAAATGCCTTAAGTAAAGGGAATTTGGCGATGGAATCCTTCCTTCGTGTTTTCGGGATCATGGTTCATTTTATTTCCAGTGTTAACACAAACCCACAGAATAAATGCTTCTGTGCTAATGTCTGGATCTATGGTGTTACAGAGGAATGCAGGCAGTAGTTCAGATGGAACCGAAGATTCCGATTTTTCTACAGATCTCGAGCACACAGACAGTTCAGAGAGTGATGGCACATCCCGGCGATCTGCCCGAGTTACTCGCTCTTCAGCCCGGCTGAGCCAGAGTTCCCAAGGTATAAGAATTCATTCTTCCTGACCATACCTCGCAGCCTGCTCACTGGTCATCATATTATTGTGTTAATATGGAAACTGGTCCCTTGGCTTGGTGTAGGTGACAGAATCTGGTAAAATGCAGAGTGAATGACTGCAGAAGTATCAGGTCTTTAAAAAATGGTTCTGTTGGGGGTGTTGTCTAATCTGTAGACCCAAAGGAACTATGTCTGATGTAATGGCTGTGTGACACATGGATGTCTTAAGTCGCTTCACTTTTTTTTGGACTACAGCTTTTCCATCAATAAAATGGGAATGCCATCTCTTCACTTCCTGTTGGAATGGTTTAGACTTAGGGCTTTAGAATAGTCTCTTGAACTTGTTTTTGGAAGAGGTTCAGTACTTCTCAATACTTCCAAAACTTATATTTAATTCTGTAATGTAGTCAGACGCAATTATTAGATATAAATAGTTACACCCAACTGTCAGTTGTTAAATACCTAGAATTTCACTTTGGTTGTACAGAATGGAGAATCTCTGTGTTGGAAGGTAGTTTGAAGGCTCTCTTATGCAATTGAGTTGTCTCGGCTTAGATTTGGAGGGTGCCCCTGAATCCCTCCTGGTTCTGCTCTGGGATTCCCCGGGGAGGACAGGAGGTTGCAGTTAATGCACAAAGCTGGTGATCAATAGGTGATAACAGATTAGGGGGTGGGGGGGAGCTGTAATAGGCTCGAGCACTTAAATAGTGCCCGTTTGGTCACTAATTTGGTCGCTTCATGAGCACATTGCAAAATGAGAGAAAAACCGCTGTTTCAAGCAAGAAAATGGGAACATTCTCCACAGCTGTTCTTGATTTTATTTTTGAATTTAACGTTTCAGTTGAAGTCACGCTGTTGTCTCTTGAGTCTCAGTTTGTGTTTATTTTTTGAGCACAGTGGGAATAGCGATAAATGACTGCTGTAATTCAGATACTATTCTGTGTACTGGAATGCCGTGATAGAAAAATCAGAGTTCCTGCCAGTAAGGTGCTCACAGTTCAGTGCCAGATACAGATATGTCAGTCGATCATGGTCGTGCATTGTGGTAAGGGCTCTGAGAGGTTGGCATAGCCTATTTTGGAAGCTCAGAGATGGGGCCGGTAATTTGGGACAGGTCTCCAAGGTGGATCCTAAAGGATCTAGTAGGATTTCACAAGTTGAAAGATGGGAAAATGTTATTCTAGGCAGAAGGAACAGTATATGCAAAGGAAGGGTTATAATATTCTTACAGAGTGTAATTGGTCATTGCCCCGGACACTTAAAAGTTGTAAATATTCAAAACAGCTAGGAAATACCTGGGCCCTGGGTCTCTTCCTAGTTGTTATACGTCATAACTGGGGATTTGCACAACTCCCAGGGGCATCGTTCACAATGTAGTCTATGTAAGGTGGCCTTCTCAAAAGCAAAATGTAGGCTCTGTTATGAATTGAGCCTTCTCGAGGTATGCAAGCTGATAGCCTAGCTGTGTGTTGACTTCTTTTACTGAAAAGCTTGAGAATTTTAGTTTTGTTCTTAGGAGAATCTGTGAGATTTACATATCACCTTAAAGATCTTTTGTCATCTCAAATATGGTTTAATCTCAGCTTTGAATCTTTCTCTAGTTTTTTTTTTTTTTTTTTTTAAGATTTTATTTATTTATCTGACAGAGAGAGACACAGCGAGAGAGGGGACACAAGCAGTGGGAGTGGCAGAGTGAGAAGCAGGCTCTCCACTGAGCAGGGAGCCTGACGCGGTGCTCGATCCCAGTACACTGGGATCATGACCTGAGCTGAAGGCAGACATTTAACAACTGAGCCACCCAGGCACCCCTCTCTAGTTCTTTTTAAAGTGTCATCAAATTAGAGAAGTAACGAGGCTGCCAGATGCTTCAGAATAGGTTTTGGTATCTAAAAAAATTCCAGAACTGTGTTCTTGGCCTCACTTTTTGTAAATCTATTATGACTTTGCTTCAGAGTATCAGCATAATCAGGAAGAACACAAGAGATCCCTAAAGAAAGGAAATATTTGTATATTGTTACA